GGTAAAAATGATAGCATATCTTTTGTAGCTCGGTGCTTTCTGCAATAGCTGCATGCTGCTGCAGTGACTGACCATTGGAGAAGATGGATACTGAAGCTGTATGCTGGGGGACGACAGTAAGCATGATGACAAAGAGTTCCAACCAGCAAGAAAGCATCTTATCTTCAACTTCCGTTGAACTGCAAAAGGTATGGAGAGACTGGGGAACAGCCTTGCTTCAATTTCAAATAAAGCAGCATAGAGCCAGAAAGAAATCAATTCAGCTTCACAAAGCAGTTGACTCCTGATGTCAGATTTCTGCCCCAGTGCCTTATGTAGCACTATATCAGATACGCTGTGATGACCTGGGGCGTGACACAAAGGCAACACAGTCACATAAGTAAGAAGAGTCCCTTTAATGCATACAACTTTGCCCCCAATGTCAAGGTTACCTTTGGCTGGAGAAAAAACTCTCCCAAGAACAGTCTTTAAATGGAAGAAATTCAGTCCAAAACAAAGTACATACAAACTGTAAATAAAAATCCACACAAACCACGCTGCAGTAATTAACTTGACAGGGCAGGAGAAGGAATTGCAGACTTGAAAGGCCAGCGAAACACACACAATTGGGAAGACGCCAGGACCCCAGATAAGCCTCAACAATATCAGATAAGTCACGATTTATTTCAACATTTGCTGTGCTCAACCTCCCTTTTTAAACACTGTGTTCCCAGCTGCAGCTAATGAAGGGAATCAGGGCCCTTTCCTCTCCCGTAAGCCACACAACTCACGTTGCTCCCTTCTCCGTTCTTCCCTGCGTGCCCTAGGATGAAGAGGGGGTGGGCCTGGGTCTTTCTCTGAATTCCTTCTCCCTTGCTCTACCTTTCTCCTGCTCTGCCCAGCTGGACTTTGCCCTTCCCCAGTTTCTTCCACAGCCAAAGGAGCCTCACTCCCAGTTCCTGTCAGCTGCTCAGCCTCCCCCTCAGAATCAGATTCCGACAGAGGCATGACACATGCCATCTTCAGCATACCTTGCTTTGCTGGCACCCTGCCATAAAATGCAGGGGGGGGGGGAGGAGATTGAGAAAGTAGAGAAAGGGCATGGGGAGGAAAAGGGGGAATGACAGGTTGACAGGAACCAGAGGTGTCAATCCAAAATGAATTGGTTGATCAAGAATGAATGCAAAACTCCACCAAAGAGGCATCAAACCTCAAAGCCATTCCCAAAACATCCAAAACAAATGCTGTTGGATACTGATGGACTGGTCAAAGGGGAAGGGCCAGGGAGATGGGAAAAATACATGCTTTTTGCAGGAATATTAGAGCCAGCTTTGCTTACACTGTAACCAGAGGTGGACTACTGGGGGGTTGCAGGGGTTTGGGAGAGCCCCTAGCTAAGATTCGGTGCAGTTCAAAGAAACCTTAAATCCCACTCCTGGCTGGCCCTGCCCTCCCCTCCTCTCCCAGGAGTTCCCAAGCAGCAGGGCATGCATGGAGGCTCAGGGAGGGCAAAAAATGGGCCTCCTGGAAGTTTGGGAAGGGCAGAAATGGGCCCGTTTCCGGCTTCTAGAGAGCCTCCGAAGGCTCGAGGAAAGCCTCCAGAGCCTGGGGAGGGCAAAACATCCCCCCTACTGTGGTGCAGGAGGCCAACTAGGCCATGCCCATCATGGCCACGCCCACCCAGCAACCGGGCAGAGAACCGGTTGCTAAATTTTTTGAAGCCCACCCCTCAACTTCATAAAAGTGAACCCTTCACTTTACCAATAAAATTCTATGTTCCTAACGCACTGCTTTATGTAGCTTTCCACATATGATGAGCTAGAAAAAAACCTACAAGTCTAAAAATAAAACCTCTCCTTTATGAAGGCAGGGATTGACAATAGGAGATACCGATCAATGCCTATGTTCTCCAACCCAGTAAGGAGGAGTTGATGTTATTTTCCTTTAAAGTGCTTTTAAGATTCAGTTGTGTTGTGCCCTGGTTCCCCAGGCCGAGTCCCTGCTTTTTTGATAATTGCTGTGGTGACCAATGAAGCATAAAGCAAGATAAACATTCATTGCAGATGGGGAAAGGCAATAACAAACACACAAAAAGAACTCTTTCTGTGGGTTATCATAATTTGATGGATTCTGGTCAAAAATGCAATGTGATCTGCATTCTGATCCAATACTTTGCCACCCAGAAAGGAGAATGTGAATTCTAATTTACCTCAGAGTTGGCTAGCCAAATTCCTCCCATTTTGCAATGCTGGGCTTCTGGGATAGAATAGAAACTAGGAATATTCAGGGGTTCCTTTGGTGCCCACCACACTTTCCCTGCCTCACCTTTCTGAATGTTTTTGTAAAGATGATGCTAACATTAAAAAAATATAAATGGGAAACTGGAACATAACAAAACAGTTTTCTGTGAAATTATCTTTATTTTCACAATTGCTTCTGATCTCCACATCAGCATTCTTTGAAAATAAACACGATTGAGATATACAGCCTAGTTTTCTGTTTGGAACAAAGGCTGGATAGTGAACAGCATTTTCATCCATTTTCCCCCATCCCTTCCACAAAAATACATGTTGTGTGAATTTTCATACATATAGATTTTGGCCCGCATTTATTACATGAAGTTTCAGATTTTTATGATAGCATGACTTTCATAGTTTTTAATAGATCACAGGCACTAAAATATTTCTCATAACTTTCATTTATGTCTTTAGTATCAGCATGGCTATCTTGTTGGCACAGTGTTATTTATCTAAGCTGTAGCACATAATAATGTCCGAGGAGCATGTACCTCTAGTTTATTTCCAGTGAAAGCAGAATGCCCTCACTTTAAAATTTATTAGCCCATTTCCGGTTCTACCAGCATCTATGCAGAGGTTGAAGGCCAATTATAGATCTACTCTATCAATAATTTTAGCTGCCCCCAACAAATCATAGCAAAGTGACCAATTTTGATAAGGCAACAAATCAGCTACAGTTTTCACCTAACCTTCTGTAATCGATGTATGAGCCAGAGGTTTTCAAGTTGTAAAAATGAGGCGCATTCAATATCCAAGTTTATGGCTCAAAAGTGCCATTAGCTACTAATTAATTACCACATTTACTGCATTTCTTTCTTAGGCACAGATCACCTCAGTTTCTGAAAAAACTGAAAGAAATTTCAACCATTGCATTCATAAATTAAGGAAATGGGACTGTATCTTATGTACAAAGGATTATCATATATATAGATGTGCACTCATGAAATATAGCTCAAGATACTTAGAAGGAAGGAAGCTAACATTGTTTCCATGTGGGGTACTTCAAAGAAATGTCTCAATTGTCATCATCTCCTATTTAAATACAAAGGCAGCATTATTAGATGAGGCATTCACATTGAAGTGAGCATCATAAATTATACAGAGGTTCTCTTTGTATGTAGTGAACTGACCAATTGGAATGGATTGAAAAATAATTAGAAGTGGAAGCTTGGTTGATTTGGTTGACTTCCAAACTGGAATAGAAGCCATTCACATGCTAAATAACTGCAAGTCAGAATATTGTGGAAGGCCAGAAGTAGGGATAATTTAAAAAAAAATAGTTAATTGGTAACTTTACACGGACCATCTTTTTTGCATGAAGACGCTGAAGACAAGAGTGTTTCTTATGATTTTGCTTCACAGTGGACAATTAGGAATGTATAAGTTAGAGATATAGAACATATGTGATATGTCCTTAGTTCATATTTTCATACAGACAAATCTGTTTTATCTTTCCAGTCGATATGCAGAATGAAACAGCTACCCATTGGCATTTACAGTTTTCCATATTCTACAATGCAGTTCTGTTTTTCTAAAAAAAGGCATAGAAAATGCACATAGCATGATACAGTGCATACAAAAATGCATATCTTGGTGAAAGAGCATGGCAAATATAAACATTGTTTTCATAAAATGTGTGATTAGACAAAAAATTGCAAAATGTATTACAATACAAAAGATGTATCATTTTCATGGATTTTCTTTTTAAATCAAAGGATCAGAAACATTATAGCATTATATCAGAAAAATTAAAAATTGGAAAAAACCATATTAACTTGGTCTGATCAGAGGAATCCTCTGAAAATGTCTATGAAGGGAATGCTGATGGGAAAGCGTTCCCATTCCAAACATAAAATTTCTATTGAATGAATGAATAAATGAATGAATGAATGAATGAATGAATGAATGGCAGTCATAAAATCACCATGCACCTATACTCCTTAAAATGCCTTTCCTCCTTTCAAGTAAACTAAGCACGTAGTTTATTAAGCACATTGATTAAGGGTTATAGATAATGGAGGTCTTCTAGTCCAATCATTTGTTCAAGCAGGAGACTTTATACCATTCTGGACAAATGGCTGTCCAATCTCTTCTTAAAAACCTCCAGTGATGGAGCACCCACAACTTCTGAAGGCAAGCCATTCCATCGATTAACTGCTTTCACTTGACAGGAAATTTCTCCTTAATTCTAGGTTGGAAATCTCTCTCCCTCCCTCCCTCTCTCGTAAGCTTCCATCCAATGCTTCTTGTCCTGCTCTCAGGACAACCTCCTCTTCTCTGTGACAGCCCTGAAATATTGGAAGATTCCTAGAATTCAGCCTTCAGTATAGTCTTGCTTCTTCATCCATCTAGTTCTCAGAGACCCCAGTTGCCTGAATAGGTCTCATTTAAATTTTCTCTTTTTGGTTGATGAAGCTTACAGATTAACAGAGTTGGAAGGGATCTTGTAGGTCATCTAGTCCAATCCCACCATCCAAGCAGAAGACCCTACACCATTTCTGACAAATGGCAGTCCAATCTCTTCTCGAAAGCCTCCAGTGATGAAGCTCACACAACTTCCATAGGCAACTTCTGTTCCATTGGTTAATTGTTCTCACTGTCAGAAAATTTCTAATTTCTGGGTGGAATCTCTCCTTGTTCAGTTTCCATCCATTATTCCTTGTCTGGCCTTCAGGTGATTTGAAAAATAGGTTGACCCCTTCCTCTCTGTGGCAGCCCCTCAAATATTGGAACTCTGCTATCACGTTTCCCCTGGTCCTTCTCTTCACTGATAGCTCAAGTTTACAAACATAGCCATGCTACATCCATTAATGAATCTTAACATGTTAAAGTAGACTTAGCTCTATCCTCATCTCACTGAGCATGTAGAGCTCAATGGAAACAATCACCAGATGTGCAAATGAGGTTTCTTTTATCCCATTGCTATGACCACCTTATTCAGCCCTGTCTATCTCAGCTCCTCCTGTTAGTCAATCTTGACTTCCAGTTATAATAGCTATTAAACTGGCTGAACATTCTGGCAGTTGTCATCCCTAGACATTGAGATAACACTTCTGGTTATGGAAGGAGGAAGCTAGGGGCAAAGAGAAGCTACACTGGAAAGAAGGAATTGTGGAAAAGATATGGGATATTTTGCCAGGTTGGAAACTCTTTAGGGCAAATGTGGACTGGGAAAAGTTAATTATTCCTCAGAAACTTGTTGTGAGCTATTGTGTCATAAAAATCAAACCAAGCAAACTATTGTGAAATGCCTTGACTTTCTTTCTTTCAAGGGAAGGTAATCCTCAATTTACAAGCGTTCATTCAGTGACCATTCAAAGTTGCAACGGCACTGAAAAAAGTGACTTACGACAGTTTCCCACACTTACAACCATTGCAGCATTCCCATGGTCACGTGATCAACGCTCAGGCACTTCACCACAGACTCATAGTTATGACAGCTGCACTGTCCCGGGATCACATGATCTCATTTTGTAATCTTCTGATAAGCAAAAGACAATGGGGAAGCCCGATCCATTTAACAACTGTGTTACCAACTTAACAATGGCAGTGATTCACTGATCAACGGTGGCAATAAAAGATGTAGAATGGGGCAAAACTCACTTAACAAATGTTTCACTTGGCATGAAATTTTGGGCTCAATTGTGGTTGTAAGTCAAGGACTACCTGTGCTACGGGTGTCAAACTCGCTGCGTCATGTGATGTTTTGCATGTAGGCCATGCCCAACGTTTTGTGACGTAGGGCATGGCCTACACTTGATGCATCTGACCCATGGGCCACCAGTTTGACACCCCTAACCTGTACTATGTACTTACTCTCAGATAAATGAATATAACATTTAATCTTCATCTCAAATAAACCTTAAACATTTTCTACTGCAGTCTGAAATAGCATCATGCAACCTAGTAACAATGGAAATTTTCCTGCTTTGGGCGATGTTATTTAAAGGTAGGTTGGAAGCAGGGCTGTTAGTGGCAATCCAAATGGGGATTACAAGCCCTACCCCTTTTTTATATGCATCACTGGTGCAACTCCTGCAAAAAAAATGGGGGGGGGGGGCGTGCAAGGCTTTAATTATACAATTATGGCTACTGTTTTAACTTTTTATATTTTCCAGAAATGCTTCTGCTGAAAAGTCAAATTCACAAGCACTATTACAGCAAGGGACAATGACTTCAATTGTATATACAATTTCTTGAAAACTGCATTGCTTGGGATACAGGGCATTTCTGAAAACAGATGCAAAGAAACAAAGAATTCTGTCAATTTGTAGGAGTACTAAGTGCTATGGGAGAAATTCTGAGGACATTCATGCTGCATAAGAGCATATTAAATTGTCTTTTTTAAAAAAGAGCAGTTACATAGGAAATAAAGGCAGGCAAACCAGCTAGCTCTGCACAACTCTTGTTCTTCTGGCTGATTGTAAGTTGCATGTCTTATTTTGTTACTTTTGTGTTATTGATCATATGCAAGTTTTTGCATCGCTGTTGCAAGATACTTGTCCAGGAGTGGCTCATTCTCAGGTTGGTTATTTCTTACTGCTTCCCACAAACACTAAGGCAATTTTGGTATTTCCTTTTTGCAGCAGTTCCCACTCGAGTCACTTTTCCCCCCTAGTTTTCCAACAACTCAAGAACATCACACAGAGCACTGTCAGTTGAGGTATATTCATCCTGAAAGACTGTCAGCCTTTCAGTGCCAATCTTTTCTCCAAAAGATAAGGAAGAGAATGTGAAGGAAGTATCTCACAAAATTATTTTGCTTCCAATTTGCCACTTTTCCCTCCTCTGGGCTGTCACCAGTGGGAGAGACTGTCCAATCAATGTTAATTTAGAAACTCCAAATAGATTAGTATGATGTTTGTTGAAAGAAGCCCTCACCTGTAGCAGATTTATGTAAACCATTGAGAACAATAGAAAAAAAAGTAATCCATCAAATTCGTCCAAGACGCATTCATCCTGCTGTCACATGAGTACAAATTTGGCTAATCTCAGAGGTTCCTGGATTAGGGATTTTTCACAGAATTGTTAACATTGCATCAAAGAGTGGAGGTAGCAGTGGAAGAATGATTAAAGAAATGATGACTCAGGTTGACCATCTTCAACAGATGGTTTTCAGGTAACCTGATCGTGCTGCGTATTTAATTCTTGCAAACAGAACACAACACAGTTCAAGATGATAGATCATAGATGTATATGCAGCATGCACAAAGTGATAGCTCCATTCTCCAACAATGTCAACGAGAAGGGTTTCATGGAGATCTTGAGCCATGATCCCCACCGCGATGATTTTGCAGCTGCTCTTTTACTCATGGTAAAACAAGGGTTGGTTCTTTTCCATCCCGTGATCAGTTCTTAAAAATTACTGACATCTGAAGAGAATAAGGAAGACCTCAGAGGAAACTCAGCCTGGATATAAGCAGAAGTCTTCAGAAACATGGAGAGGCTCTTCCAGAATGTCAGAAAGCTCTAGAAGTTGGTTTCCTTCCCCGTCTTTCCAAGTACTTCCTTGATTGGGCGCTGGGATCCCACTTCAGAACATTCCCACTGAGAACTGCCAATCAGATGCTTCTTTGGCTGGGGCAAGTCTTCGGATGGAGCAGTGAGCTGGCATATGCGCTGTGGAGAGACAAGGAGAATGGCAGGCAGTATCTCTGTTAATTAAACATCAGGAAAATTGACACCCAAATTAATCTGCCTCAGTTGGGGTGGACAAAGGTAGTCCAAAAGCCCATCCATGAAATTTTCATAAGGCAAGTTTATTGGAATATACATTTAAAAGAGCAGATGGGAAATGGCTTAATGCTTTGTGCCATTTTGCTTTTAGAATCACTGCTTGTTGACACATGATAGCACACAATAGAATCCCCAGCAATGCTTACAGTAGGGATGTTTTAATAGATTGCATAGTTATAAAAGTATGGGATTAGGAAGGAAAACACACTCATCTATTGTGGCAATTAGAGATGAGAATTTTGTTTCCATTAAGGCATTTGGGTTTTTATTTTCCAATCTTAAATTTGTTTTGCCCCATTCCTATAAGAATTTGCTTCTTTGTTTTTACTTCTCATGAGAATATGCATATTGTCACTGTCATTTCTCCAGTACATGCACATTCGTGCAATTATGGCTAACTAGATATTTTTATATTCAATTTTTAATCAGAAAACAACATGATAACACTTGCAATATTGTTGTTTTTGGTTCATATATTGGTTTGAGAAGTGTAAATTCGATAAATGTGCATTTAAATGCACAGCAAGCTAGCTATTCTTCCATACCCATGAGGGGAAAGGTTTCATAAGTCAGACTCCTATGTGAATAGTTCTGTCACTAATAGCTTTGTAATAATCAACAACTTCATCTTTTCTCTCTGTAATGGTCTCATGAATAAACTAAACAGTTTCACAACCTGGAGACCCACACAGGCCATATGACTTCACTGGGCCTTCAACTTCACTTCGAAAGCCCTGTGCAAAAAATGAGCTAAGACTCCTGAAAAATGCTATAGATTTATTCCCTGCTAGCCTCTCTTTTTCAGAACTTCCTTTATTTGCTTCTCTACCACCTTCACCCAATGCTAGTCATTTGAGAAATGAAGATTCTCATACAGTGTTGCATTAAGTCACCAGTTTTGTTTCTGAGAACCATCTGTTCTTAAGGCTCTAATACAACTGTGGTACTACAAGAATAGAATCTCCTCAGAAGGTTCATCGTGAAGATGGAAGTGGAGACACTGTTTCTATCATGGAAACTGGTATAAATAGTAAATAAAATTAATGAAACAATTTTTTCATTGCGTTACCCAACAATCAAGAAGCCTCCACTCAAATTCAGAGGTCCTTGTGCAACTCTGGCTTGCTCATGTAGATTTCTACCCATTTGAGATCAAATTTGCTCTATGTCGAAGAACAAAATATTGTCCTCTCCTTACTACAGTTAACATAAGAGCTCTTCGTTTTCACAGCTCCTGATGTTTTCTAAGAGATTCTCTTTACATTCAAAGGGAGGCTTTATCATGTGAGAAGTTGCCAGATGGATGTGATTAGGCCACCTCCGATGCAAATTGCTGTACTCCAGGAGTTATATGTACTGAAGAACAGTATGGCTGCTCTCTAGAGTATTTCAATATTATTTTTGTAAAATGATTATGTTCTCCAGAATGGTTGCGCAAATGGAAATATTAGTAGTTATAGTACTTATATTATTTGTTTATAGCACCCAACATGAGCCCTATAATCAAATTCACTGGTGGTGGCTAATATGTTTTTAAGGTACTTGGATTGTAGAATGTTCATAAACCAAATGTTGGTTTGAAGAGTAAAACTGGGGTTGGCTGTGCTTTTCTCTGTGGAAATAATTTTAAAAGTTTCTACTTCTGCTAATATTAATTAACAGATTTTCTCACTATGATGTTCCGCATCTCTACTTTTCTATTAAATGATGCACAAAATTTACTCTTGGTCAAATGGATTTTTTTATTTTAATTATTGTGTAATAACTGATGTTTTAACATTTGTTCCAGCTGTTTATGTTAATTATATTCTGTGCTGTTTGTTTTGGCCTCTGGCAATAACAATAAACTGAATTGCAAAAAGCAACCCCAATATAAATTATGTTTTCCCCTCACCTTCATCATTTAGTCTTGTTACAGTCTATTACATCAAGCTCAATTCAGACTCAACCTACGCTGTTCCATATTCAGATTGAAAGGATTCTACCCTAGATTTAATGCTATGTGGTTTTCCCCATTCCATTCCATAATATACATTTGCAGAGCAAAATGGGATGGAGAATGCCTCTCCCTGAACCTAAGGTAAACTCCACATGCTGGATTGATCCTATTTTTTAAAAACAAAAATGTGATCTAAGAGCACAAGACTTTTTTAGATTAGATTTCCTCAATTGGAATATTGTCTAGATGAAGAATTTGAAAAATTTGAATTCACGACCCGACGTAACAGTTGCTGAGATTTTGAGAGATGATGGCTGAAGGATTGCCAGGTTGGCAGTTAAAAAGTAACTTGAAAATGACTCCCAATACTATGGTGCTATCTCAGAGGAGTATCTGCAATCTATCATCATCTTTTAATGACCCCATAATCCCTTGTCTGGGCAACTGAATGAAGCTAGCAAAGTGGCTGGATGCTCTTCCTATCACCAATGCAGAGTTTTGTTTAGCAGATAAATTCTCATTGTGCACAGAGAGAGAAATATCAGCCTCCACTTAGGATCAAACTCACAGCCTCCTGATTGTGAGGCAAGAGCTCCACCTCTAGGCCACTGCACACTCCTAGGAACATCTGCAATCTATGTATCATGTAAGCAAACAAATGAAGGTGATTTCAGAGGAAATGGCTAATAATTATATCTTGGTAACTCTACTATTTCTTTCAAGCTTAGGCTCCAAATGATAGAAAGGTACAAACTAAGGTTCATAATGTAGGAAGGAGTAACTCTGGCATACACACACATGCAGACAAATTATTTGTGTCAAATAAGTGGCCAGACGTGAGAACAAATGGACCTTAGAACAGGGTGTCCAACCTTAGTAACTTTAAGACTTGTAGACGTAAAGTCCCAGAATTCCCCAACCAGCAAGGCTCGCTGAAGAATTCTGAGAGTTGAAGTCCACATGTCTTAAAGCTGCCAAGGTTGGAACCCTTGGAGGGAAAGATTTGAGTTAAATTGGCAAGAGCTTGTTTTCCAATTATTTAACAATAAAAGCAACAACCCGGGTAGCCCTATATAAATCAAACTGCTGAAAAGAAGATTATTTTAAATATCCATAAGTGATATGTGAGCTGTCATTTCAGAACAAATTTTTTAATCTAGAAATACATGAATTGTGTCTGCATATATTCTGGTTGACCTTCAGTTTCTGAGAAAATGTCGGGTAGAACTTTCAAACTCAAAGAAACTAATTCTTGGTTTAAGATGGAATCATACACATACATAGCATAAATCCCATTTAATTTCATGGGATTTCAGTTTGTGCAAATTCTTGCAGCAGCTAACTAGGTGTTCCACTATTTCTTCAGCTTCTTTGCAAAGATGGCATTTGCTGTCTGCTTATCATTATTGGGTTTTTAATATTTTAATTAAAATTATAAAAAGGAGATTAAAAACTAGCAAGAACTAATACAAAGTAAAAGAAAAAAAGAAAAAAACAGGAAAGAAGTCAAAAGCATAAAAAGAAAGAATGAAAGAACTAGAAAAAGAGCATTTCTGATTTCCTTTGCTGTGGTTATAACTACAAATACAAAATTATCTCTTACTTTATGATTACAAAACACCTTACTTTTTCCTACAATCTATATAATCTATCTATGGTTTTTCCTCAAAACCACAAATCATAAGATCAACTGTTTCTGTTTGATGCAAAAAGTATATACTAAAAGAGGAAATCCTGTAAGAGGTTTCCAGTCGGCAGTATATATAGACATTCTCTTTTCTCTGATCAAGGAAGTCAATTTAGCCACCTCTGCAAATTCCATCCTCTTCAACAATTGTTAGTCTTGGTTGCTTTGGCTCTTTATCATATTTTGCTTTAAGCTTCACTTCCTTTCCTTTGCTCTCTGGGTCTTTGTCTCATGTTATCCACGTTAGGTGGATATTAAACCAGGGCTGACATATAATGTCATTTGTTATTACATTGGTATCCTTAATCAGTAAATAACATTCTGGGGACATGGCATCACCTTTCTAAAGTCTTGGGGATGACATTGCTCTAAGGTTTATTTCAGGATTTGTGTGGAGTTTCTGTGATGACCCAGAGTGTAACACAAACATAACAAACTCCAAAACATAAATAAATGTCCTTTAATGCCTCCAACTTCGCCCCACAGTTCAATAATTCTCAGTTGGAGATAAAACGTATTCAAAAATAGTCTTCAAAAGAAAGCAATACAGTCCGAACTTAATGAGCAGATAGAGGTGAAATAAAAAACCAAAACAAACTACAATGAAGGAATTTCCACAATGGACCAGGATAAGTAATTACCAACTTCAAGGAGATAATAAGGCACAGTCTGTTGGAAGGACGCCAACCAAGATAACTTCAGCCCAGAATAACACACGCTTTGCTTCTGGCAACGCTGTGTTTTAACCGTCTCTCTTATATACTATTCTTCCCAGCTACAACTAATGAGGAGGATCATGGTCACTTCCTCTCTCGTAAGCCAAGTTGTTGCCTTCTCCATTCCTCCCTGCATGTCCTAGGATGAAGAGGGGATGGCCCTGGTTCCTTCTCTGACTGCCCAACTGGCCTCTGCCCTTCCCCAGCCTCCTCCACAACTTCTGGAGCCACACCTCCACTCCCTGTCGGCTGTTCCTCCTCTCCCTCAGAGTTTGACTCTAACAAGGGCATGACAGTTTCCCAGCGTTTTGAACTGAATTGCATTTCGAATTATTCCACTAAGATAAATGTTCATTTGCATGAAAGTATTGAGTTCTATTGTTCTCCTCTATTGTCATCCCATAATCTACATGTATCAGTGAAGAAACATCTATCAACAAGAAGAAATGGCTGGGTTTACACATTGGCTTCTGCTGTGGTTTATTTTAATCATGGTTTGTGGAAACAGAAATCCAGGACTTTTTCAGTGGTTAGATAAATCGTAGTAGTTGAACATGTAAAATTAAACTGTCACGAATGCATTATTTATAATGCTGAAACCAAACAATTCACATTATGGATCAGTGTGATTTGTGAATTCAACCAATGATTACCTATAGTTATTGCAACATATTATATTAACCATAGTTATAACCCAAAGCAAGTTTTGAATTTTACAGGTATTTCTTAACTTGCATCCCATTTGCTCTGTGCCTCAGTCTTCTGAGGTAGAGCAATAATTATAACCATGATTGTCAATTAGGCAACATAATCTATGGTTGGCAGTGACTGGGTTTTGATTTGTTATCATTTGCACAGTGTTAAGTTTCTAAGTTAGAAGACAAAAAAATGCATAGCTAGAAGAAATAAAAAGTGCATTTTGTCAGCTTGAAAAAGGATTGAGGTGTGAAACATTTCTTAAGGATTTGGGAATTATTTTTCCATTCTATCTTTGATTATTTGCACATATTTTCCACTTGATTTGATCAATATAATGGCAGTGATGATTCAGAACAAGAGGCAGACAAACTAGATTAAAATACACAAACAGCCTTTATGAAGAAGTTTTCGAAGCACTAAGGCAAGGCTGTCAAACTCGTGTTGTCACAGTGGTGTCATGTGACCTATTGTGACTTTTTCCCCTTTGCTAAACCGGGCATGGGCATGGCCAGTGTGTGACACATCTGGGCCCTGGACCCGAGCTTGACACCCCTACACTATGGGTTTAGTCTTCTACAATTAACGGTAACCAAATTTGCTTTTGTTAGTTAGTTCTTTCATGTATCAAAAGGCATCTGACTTTCTTCCATTATGAAGAGGCACCAACCCAGCTTTTATGGTGTTGCTTTACTTTAGGGCTTATGTTACCTTGGAAAAACAATTGTCCTAGGATACAGAATACATCTCTTTCAGTAACACAAATGGCCTGAAAGAACCTGTCAATTCTCTCTCTTATGAATGATCATGTAAAATAACCAAACAAGGTTCTGTGACCTCAGAGAAGCTCTGTCGTTATTACCTCTTTGAAAGATCCTTTGGTTCTCAGGAAGCTGAATATAATATAAGATGGTATGCAGATCATAGAAGCCAACGCCAACACCCAACCCACTGCAATCCCCCACGGAGGATATTCATAAACGTTGTTGTATTTGAGGGGTTGGTATCTAATGAGTGAAAACAGGAAGGTAGCCTGAGGATGACAAGAACAAACAGCGTGACAGGTATGCAGTAATAAATTAGAAAACATCTGTAAGAGATAATTAAGGAGAAGAAAAAGTACATTTAATCAAGGTCTTTCAGCATGACCCTTTTTCAGCCTTGAGCAAATAGTGTCTATAGTCAACTCCGATTGAGATGGTTATTAAGATCTGCTAAGTAGCTGCTGGCTTCTGCTCAGACTTTGGGTTTTAGCTCCCCATTTTTGTTTTTGCTTCCCACCCCCGAATATAGGAAGTCCTTGACTTACGACCACAACTAAGCTCAACATTTCTGTTGTTAAGTGAGACATTTGCTACGCGAGTTGTGCCCCGTTTTATGACCTTTCTTGCCACAGTGATTAAGTGAATCACCGCAGCTGATAAGTTAGTAACATGGTTGTTAAGTGAATCTGGCTTCCTCGTTGACTACTATTGATGAAGTTACCTGGTTTGGGTAATAAAATATTTCCAAGAAAACAAGCAAACTCAGAGAGCACAGACCCCCATTGACTTTGCCTGTCAGATGGCCGCAAAATATGTTCACATGACCTTGGGACACAGCCATGGTCATGAGTCACATGACCATGGGGATGCTGCAATGGTTGTAAGTGTGAAAAATGGTCATACGTCACTTTTTTTCAGTGCTGTTGTAAGTGGTTACTAAGGGAATGGCTGTAAGTCGATAGGACTCTTCCATGGTTACAGCCGGAATGGTTATATTAATCCAGAGTGCCATGCATGATTTCTTAGGCAGCTCAGCAGAACATGTGTCAACTCATAAAATATTTCTGTGGTCTTTTAGAGTTGCTAATAGAAAGGAAGGGGGAAGCAGTTGGTAGCTTGCATTCCATAAATGTTTTCAAAGATAGTTTCTAGGTGACCGAAGTTTCTGCCGTGCAAAATTCTAACTGGAGAGCATGATTGATTAATCTTGGCTATGGATGTGTCCCATTGGAGAATATAAATTATGATACACCCAGGGGGTGGAGGGAAACCAGGGCCAAGGTTGACTATGAATTATGTGTCTCAGAGTCAGATACACCCAGGCAATGCCCGCATCTTTTAACTCCCAATAAATCCTTTTGGAGTTTGGCTAGACTCATGATTTAAATGGCGTTAAGTGTTGGAATCCTGACAACATGATTATTTTGACTTCACAACACTTTCCATACAGGGATGGATTTGATTGAGAAAGGGAAGGTTGCTGTATTTTCCCTTCAAAACCCCTGATGGCCTGTCATTAAACCTGGCAAGTCTTCAGGCTGTATTGTGAAGGAGAGGAAGAATTTTGTATAAATATTTCAGAAGAGATAAAGGTTACAAAGGTCAGTGTTGCAGTGATAAAAAAAAAAAAATCCTGCTCCTCTGTTCCTTCTGTGATTCTAGATCACTTGCAAGGCTCTCTCAGACTGACCTCAGAATCTACAAGAGGTCAAGTTTGAAGCTATGGTACATGTCCATGAGGAATCATACTTGTTGACAAGGATTAACTCGATGCAATAGGCCGCTTTTCCCCCAAATTAATTTTAGGAAATATATCCGCTGGAAAATCCTGGTGCAAAGCTATTTGAACCTAGGTCCAGCTTCAAGCTGGTGCTTGAAATGCAGCAAGGGACATGGCGCATCGCTCTTAAGGACTTGGATTGAATTGCCTCAAATTTCTTGATATCTTTATAGACACAATTTCCATGCCATCGAGTATTAGCTCAGCAGTTTTTCTCTACAGTATAAAGTGAGACTGCAGTGGAAACATAATTATTTCCCTGCTGGCTGGCAAATCTAATTATTACATCAGAATTTTTTTTTCTGCATGAGATGAAATATATTTTTTTCTTACCCTTTCCAGGTATTAGAAAATTGAAACATAATTCCTAAGACATTAAATGTTAAGATGTTTAAAGATCTTAATTTCCTCAATCAAATTGCAGGTAGTTTTCCATTCATGGATGACTTTAATTCATTGCTTTGTGCATATAATCACTTTTAATTTACTACAATTAATTCCTAGTTTTTGTTCTCCACAATAAGCATTTGAAGCTTGTAAACTTATGAATACCAACTTCAAGATCTTCAAGAAGTTGATCACATCATTGGTGTAAACAAAAACTCTTTTGTTAGCACTAGGGGATAGAATTCAGTTTTCCTTAGGGTCTGAGTTAAGGAGTGGATTAAATAAAGATTAACTAAAAAGGGGGCCAGAATACAACCTTGCTTAGTTAGCAATAGCACTTACACTTATATACCACTTTATAGTGCTTTACAGCCCTCTCTAAGTGATTTTACAGAATCAACCTATTGCCCCCAATAATCTGGGTCCTCATTTTATCCACCTCAGAGGGATGGAAGGCTGAGTCAACCTTGAGCCTGGTGAGATTTGAACTGCCAAATTGTAAGCAGCCGGCAGTCAGCAGAAGTAGCCTGCAGTACTGCACTCTAACCACTGCACCACCACAGCTCTTCTTCTTATAGTGAGAATTGGGACTGAAACAACTCTGCTTACTGTACAATCGACATATAAATATCTTGTAAAGCATCATAATTAATCTAGTAAGACAGAAATCCATAAATGTCTTTAATAATTTCTACCACAATCCTTCCCTAGAGATCAAACTTTCAAATCTATAAAGGCAGCAACAAGGAAGCCTCCAGATAAAAGAATATCATTTTTTTTCTGTTGGATGGTTTACAAAAATAAAGGTATTCAATAGTTGCTTGTTCTCTCTTGAAATGTATTTCTTAGTCAGTCAAAACTTGCTCTTTTTCTAAAAAATCACTGAGTTTCTCACATGGATGTTTGGCACCTGGTTTATTAAAACATTTCAGAGATTGATCAGATGGATAGCAGGATTAGATTTATTGCCTTTCTTAATGATTGGAACTGCAATAATACCAATGTTTAGGCACCTGGAAACTGCACTCAATATGTGTGAGGGGGAAGACCAACACAGATGACTGCCATTCTGCATTAGCTTTTTTCTAAATTCTGCAAGAATCAGAACTCCTCCACTGCTTTTCCGTTGTTTAGATGGGATATGAGTTTGTAAGTTTCCATAGTTGAATCTGGAAGCCTGCCAAAAAGGGACTTCATGCACTAAAAAGATTGCTAAAATATTCAACCTATTTAATAGACACACAATTTAACAGAGATGTTGGGCTTTATGCTTGGGCATAAAGGATGCTGAACCAGCAATCAACTGTCAGAAGGCAGGTTTTAATTGCTTATAAGAATTTTCTCCACTTTTCTGTTTATATTCTCTTTGGAAACATACAGAACCTGGTCTTGGGTCCATCTATGTACCCCTGCTTCTCCTATGTGATTTACTTCCTGGAAACTTGAAGGGTCATTCCTCAAAGATGAACCTGTAATTCATTCAGATAATCCAAAGCGATCATCCTAAACACCCTGTCATTATTTATGGTTCCCAGGTCATGATGTTGTAGATTATTTATTTATTTTTTGCATTGCATTGCACTTCCTTTATCCTGGAACTCCCCTAACTACAGCCATCTTCTTTAAATAGTCTTGATGACATTTTATTTACCTGTAAACTTCCTTCATTTTGTGTTATGCCATCTATTGATGTAAGTACCAATAGAAGAGTATAATTGTAGCTGAGGTTTAACTGTGGGCTACTTGGTGCTGTCTGAGCTTGGTGGTTTTCTTGCAAACATTTCATTACCAAATGGATGATATTACCTAGTTTGGTAATAAAATGTTTGCAAGAAAACCACCAAGTTCAGAGAGCACCAAGGACCCCTTTGATGCATTTGCAAGGTATATTTGTATCTGTATATCTCTTTTTCTGTAGATTCCTATTTTTGGCATCTCATTGTGAGCCACCTGAATAGCTCATGACATGTAAAAATATTTAAACTGAATTAAAAATAGCTAACAAGAATTACTACAGTGAACTATGCTAATAGAAAGAATTATACAATAATTAATAGTAATATTTCTGTAATTTCAGGCAAGGGAAATTAAAGGATTTTTTCTACACCATCACCACCAATGCGGAGGTGGTATTCAGCAGGTTCTGACCAGTTCTGTAGAACCAGGAGCAGAAATTTTGAGCAGTTCGGAATACCATCTCTGACTGGCCCCGCCCCCTTCTATTCTCTGCCCTCTGAGTCCCAGCTGATTGGCTGGGTCTTCTTTTGTTGCCCTGCACAGGAGAACGGAGCTGGAAAGCAGGTTAATGGGGTGGAGAGAGAGTGTGGATTTTACAGTATCCTTCCCCTGGAGAGGGAGGGAATGGAAATTTTACAGTATCCTTCCCCTGACATGCCCACCAAGCCACGCCCACAGAACCGATAGTAAAAAAAATCTGAATCCCACCACTGCACCCTTGCCATATATGTGTAAAAGACACAGTCAATGTACTTACCAGACAAAGACCAGGTGTGAAGTAGAGCCAGCAGTATTTAATCAGGGGCCAGGGTTTGTAGCCAATCATATCTTCAATATTGTCAGTAAAACGATCAGCTCCTTGACCATTGCAAAAGAGAACTTCATATAAACTCATGCTGTCAGAAACCAGTCAGATAAAGAAAAAGCCACCCCTCTGGCCTCAAATTCAATTGTACATCTTCCCTAGGAGTTCAAAGCAATCTAAAACTCTCCATAGGAATCTGCTAGCTTAAACCAATTTTCTTTAACCCTCCAATCATTCAATATTTCTCACGATTCTGGATTAGAATTCTTACCATTTTTTTTAGAATGTTACCTGTTACCTTCAGGTAAATTGGATTATGGCTGCTTTAATCTCCAGCCTTCATGGGCAATGGAAGAGACATTTGTATTATTAGACATTAGGCAAATGTGAGATACTCTGAATGATGGGAACTGTAGCCTAACATATCAGCAGGCTGAGATAGGCTGGTCCAAGGAATAAAGAAGCAATTTTATCACCTTCATGAGTGGATTATTCATGAGTTTTAAACCAGGTCTCTCAGACTTCTGTACAATATGCTGTCATTATTAATATTGATCACATATGAAGAAGCAAATAAAAGGGATATTATCCAAATCATTAGATATAGTCAAATGATGATAGAAAAAAGTTAGTACTGACAAATTTATAGAAAATCTGTAGAAACCTTTCATATTTATTTACCTCAACTTCTGTATGAAGACTTTTAGAGCTAATCCTTTCAAGATGACAGACATACTAAAATGCATATTTATAAAACTGAAATGAAAGGCGAACATTCGAGTTTTTATTGAAACATTAGACTAATAACAATGGAATCAACTTGGTAGTAAATGCCTACTAAATTCAGGGAGACTTCTGGCCATAAAAAGCCCTTATATTTTTATTTTATTTATTTATTTATTTATTTGATTTGCCAATTGTTTACAAGATAATAAGTATAAATGTATACATAGTTGTGAATACATGAAATGGGTACATATAAGAAAAATAAAAGAATAAGAGAAACAATAGGACAGGGACGGTAGGCACGTTGGTGCGCTTATGCACACCCCCTACAGGCCTCTTAGGAAAGGGGTGAGGTCAATAGTAGACAGT